GCCAAAATACGGGCAATGGCAATTGTTAAAGCCTTTCTATGCAGCTATTCAGGAGGGAATGCCCTGCTATTTTGGATTGTTTATGCTGGGAGAATTAATTTCTTCAGTTTCTCTGCCTGGAAGAAGGGGCTCAGATACTGGTGATGAGATGTATAAGCCTGGTGAGCTGAAAGCACAGAAGAAGAAACTTCAAACAGAAGGGAGGTATGCATTGTCAAACCGAGGGTGTGGTGCATGTAGGGGATGAGCCATGATGGAAGGAGGCTGGCTGTGGAGCTCCGACAGAGTTTTCATGAATCAGAGGACAAAGCCTATGGAAGTGAAGGAGGCTTCCATACTCTGTGGCAGACTGAATTTCTCCTACAAGTCTATCCAGAGGGGTGAGTAAGAGAAGTGCATAGTTCTTTAATATTTTGTCCAGTCTTTCATATTTCTTCTGCTGTAGGAGTAAGTAGAGACTTTTGGAAATTGTTATTTTAGATATGTATGCATTTTCCTGTGTGAACTCTCCCCTGCAAGTCTGGCATGCATGCACACACTTTGTGGGAAGCTGGCAGCATTGTGCAGCAGAGAGGAGGGGTTCAGTGCTGGGCTGGCTTTGTGCAGCTGGAGACCATGTCACTGAAGGGGACACAAACAGAGAGCTGGTGTCCCTGAGGCCCAGAGCACCAAAGGGATGCTGAAAATCACTCCCCAGCAGCTGGTAGGAACCCAAACACTTCTCAGGCCTCACTAGTGTGAACATTCCTGAGGTCCAAGACAAAATTTACTGCTGAACTTTCCTAATGCTCAGTCATTGCATTTAGATCCTCAAAGAGGAGCTGAGCTCTAGAGATGTCCTTGTTTTTTTACCTAAACCTGTATGCATGTGTGCATATGCCAATTTTCCTTCAACCATTTGTCTTCTCCTGAATGGAACTGCAGAGACTTCCACAAGAGGAGCATTAACCTTGCACTGACCTAATAAGAAAAAGTGTGAGCTGCTCCTGCATCCAACCTTAGTGTGAGAAAGGGAGACGAAAAGGGGTTTAATGTGGCCCATCCTATGAATGGCTTTGCTGTCACAAAAAGCCTAAATTCTCATAGGGATGTGATGTCTGTGCTGACATAAAGGTTTTAATATAGATTATGTTTAACATCAAGAAAATATTAAATTACACATTTTTTTCTCCAAATAGCTGATAATTTTCAATGTTATTTTCCTCATGATATTGCTCCTTTTTCACAAGTGTATAGTGTACACTGCTGAAGAAAATGAAGGTTGCAATCTTAGGTTTTAGTGTAACTAATGTAACTTTGGGTCTAAAGAACATGGTATAATCCTAAAACCTGTGGCACTGAGAGGCTGGACTCACTTCAGCTGCCCTGTGAGACTTACAGAAGCTGTGAGTGTCAAAGCTAACACTCTATTAGGGTGGGTTATCTGGGGATTCACAGAGCCCAAACTTCAAATTTGCACATATAAATGCATAGGTTTTTAAAGCCAGAAGGAACCACCAAGATCTAGTTTGACTTCCTTTATAATGCAGTCACAGAATTTCACCTCGTAATTCTCTGCCAGAGCCAAATAATGTGAGTATTCATGCCAGAGGTATTTGTGCTTAAATTCAGTAAGGGAATAGATATGATACCAGGCTGCTTATCTTGCAATCTCGACAAAGCCACAGAGCCCAAATAATGCATACCCAGCATCAAATTCTCTCAAACTTGTGGTGATAGTAATAAAAATTGCTAAATGCCTTAGAATAACAAATAAATTTGATTAAACCACTCTCTGCTTATGGCTATCCTGTGAGCAAGAAAGACTATAAATCGTTAGATACATGATTTATAGAATATTATTCACTTTTCTGAGTTACTGTCTCCATTCTTTGGTCTTTGATATTCTGATAGCAATGTCCTTTGCAAATAATGCAAAATGATGTATATTTTAGCAGCTCCTGGCTTGGTTCTCAAAAGGAAATATTCTCTAATAGCCCAGTGCTCCTGAGGGGTTTTTAAAAGCAATAAAATGCAATTTGTGTCAAATCTTGCTTACACAAACATGAATTTCAGCTTCAGAGATCTCTTTTCTCACTGTAAGACAAGTCCTGATGATGCACAACCAGATTTCTGCATCCTGCAGACATTTGAAGAGTCAACAGTCTATGTGGTAGAGCAAATATTTGGAGTCTGAAGTATGGCTCAGAAACCATCTACTGATGTCTTAAGTAGGGGCAGGAGTGAGGAAAATGCCCTCACACAGCAATCTCCCTGTGTACTGAACTCCTTGCCTGCCTGTACTTTGTATGACCAGAGGTGAAGGCAGAGAACAGCCCTATATGTGTTGAAACAGAGCTCAGGTGAACCCTCCTTACAGGTGAGGATAATAAGGATAAAAATAAGACACTAATTGTATTTAATGTGGAAAACTGATATTTGGGATATAGTTTACTGAAGATGTCGTGTCCAGATCTCTTCTCACCACTCTATGACAAGCTCTACGTAAAATGTATAGTAAGTAGCTAAAGATCTCCAGAAGTGTTGTCACTGGTGGCCAGCCCTGAGGGTACTGCTTATTTTCTGCCATGCAAGAGATTTTTTAAAAAATGTTTCCTGTGTTATTAGTGCTTTTTTTTTTTTTTTTTTCCCCACTAGCTCAGGGATTCCAAAGCTAGAACTTGTGAACCTAACTGAAGGCATGCCACAAATATATGCCATTAGGAGCCTGGTGGAAATAAAATTGCAGAACCAAGTCTCACAATGTGACCTTGAGAAAGGAAGGAAGGGAAAGACATGACCTTCAAGTGCAGCCAGGGTTGTAAACATCTCTAGATAGTCTTGGGCACTGTATTCTGAAACTTTCAGACCATCTGCCCTGGTTCATGTCATGATGATGCCCCAGCACCTGCTGGACTCCATTTGCCTTTCTCAGTTTGCCTTCTAAAAGGGGATTTTTTTTTTTTTTACATTCAACTTCATGCTGTCTACTTTTTTAACTTGTAATTTTTCTCCTCAAAATCCCTCTTTGGTCCCCTCTTGTCTGGTTTCCATCACTTCTAGTTACTGGAGCTGCCTGTACCAGACCCACAAGTAACATCTTCTTTGATAATTTCCCATGTTCATCTTTCCCTTTTATGAGGAATGACTGTTCCCTCTTCCTTGTGACCTTCACTGATTTCTGAATCTCCATGCTTTTACGATCTTTTCTCTTCGTCTGCTAACTCAGCAGTCGCTCTACCCATTCCTCATGTACCAGAGCTTTTAATCTGAGCAAGGAGTCCACAGTGATTGGAAACGTCCAACCTTCTGAATCATCTGTAGTGCCACAACACTAACACCATTCTTACAAATGTTGCTTTTCCCACCCCTTTTTTCAGCCTTCTTTTTAACTGTTCCTTGCTGGTGAGAGTAAACATTTGCTGTTCAAAGCAGGGAATAATGATTGCTTTGATTTTTTTTTTTTTTTTTCATATAGGAAAATCGCATACCCATTGAAGTTACCATGCAAATAAATAAAAAAACCATTGCAGTATTTCAAACAATATTGCAATAATAATACCAAAGATGAGAGCCGCAAGATTTTTTTTTTAATCCTGGAAAAATGCTGTGGTAGATTCTTTTTTCTTCACAGACTTTAATACTGTTTAGGTATGCAGCAACAAGGAAAGGATTCACTGGAAGCACTTAGCAGATGTGCTTGGAGAAAACCCAGCTTCTGAGACTGTGTGTTGCAGTCAACATCCCCATCAACAGCAAGTGGAATACTGTTTGCAAAGCTGATGTTTAATTCACTGGCTAATGTCATTCAAAACCACAGAGAGTGCAATATTTCCATTCTCAATCTTGAATTTGCTTAGTTTTTTGAGTCCGTATCAGCCTGAATTTGGAAACCCCAACTGCATCTGAAAACAGTGATAGAAATCCACCGAAAATAGTTAGGATTTTCTGTAATCTCTTTATGAATAAATGAAAATATTATAGCAGAAGTTGCTCTTTATCCTTCATGCAAACCGCAACAGTTGTGATGATTACACTTAGCAGAGGGCAGATTTTGTATCTGTTAATATTTCCCTTTGCTGGTTCAGTCAAACATTTTTCTGCCAAAATGTCAGGCTTTGCCAAGCCGATAGACTAATTTAACTTTAGTAGGTCATCCAGTTAAGCCTATGAGCAGAATTTATGTATTTATATTAAACAAAAGCATTGTGCTTTTTTGAAAGATTATTTTTATATTGGCCTTTAATAACTGGGCCATATTCTGGGCTGATGTAATTTAACTAAGTTCTTAGGCACAATATTCCAGTAGAGAATTTGATCATAACATTTACATTTTTGTAGCTATAATGTAATGTATTTTACATGTAGAGCTGCGTCTATAGCTAATGCACATAATGCAAATATAATTCTGAGCATAAGTATCCATGCATGTATAGATAAATATGAATAGTATAGTAAGTATGCATCTAAACACCCACTTCTGTTTTCAGTTTGTGATAGCCATCATTTGCCATTAGCTAATGCCTTAAATTGAGAGTGGTGAATCTGGTTACATTCTAGGTGCCAGCATGGAATAATTGTGAAATATTTATTATATGACAATTATTCTACATAAATATGTTTTATTTACAGGACAGAGCAGAAAGCCACACAGAGAGCTGTGACATGAAAGTTCTGCAATGACATTCAAACCAGTAGAAATATTCCTAGCAGCTTCTAGGGCCCTTCATCCAACAGAGTGACGACAAGCTAAGTTCATCTGCATGATGGTTATTCACAAGTTTTGGGGTAAATGATCCAATAAGGGCATAGTGGATGTATTTTATTTGCACAATGAAATTCTACCGGCCAGAAAGCTGCGAAGACAGTTTATATTTTTGTCACACTGTAAAAAGCAACTAACGATCCATGGAGAATTTGGGAAAATGTCCTATTTACGTTCCATCCTATTTATATGCTCTGTTTTTGCATACAAAGGAGGTCTTTGTTACCTCAGGGTTTGTCAACACCTGCTATATCCTTCACCAGTAGCCATAGCTCTCTGGGGCATCAAACCACATCCACACGCAAAGAGGTTTGTGGTGTGCGTGCATGAGGTACCTGGCGATTTTGTCTGTGCAGGACATGGTGATGAGCTGCTCCCCCAGCAGCACGCCGTCCCACGTCTGCGCCGCGCTGTGACACCGCACGGGGATCGTTCCTTCTCCAGACTCAATCTTTGTTCGGAGGTGCCCACGGTATTTTCTCACTATGTGCTTGCTGCTGTTCACTGGGCAAAATAAACACAAGAACAGTAATAATTAAATGTTTTTAGAAAGAAACTGAGAGGCTGTGTTGATGCCATAGCTTGTATTTGCAGAACCAGCTGCGCAGGTCCTTTAAATTGGATGCAAAATGAGATGAGATTAAAACCCAAGAAAGCAGCACAGTGGAGAAAAGTATGTGCTCTCTAGCATGGTTGTCTTTTCACATCAATCAAAACTTTCACACAGCACATGCTGAGCTCATGTCCCTGTCCCCATTCCTGTATGTACTTAAAAAGAACAGAGGTGCTCTCTATTTTAAAGAAGCAATACAACTTCTTGTTTTTAACTTAGAGGGCTGATCTGTGTCAGGGCAATATTGGAAAGCCTTGCTTCTGTGAGTGTCATGAAAGACTCACCTGCGTGATGCAGTGTGGTGCAATATTCTAGTGTGATATTCAGTGGCATTTTCTGAGTAATTTCAGAACTAAGGTTTTAGTTCATTATCACAAATTTTCCTTGAAAATTCTCAAAAGCTGAAGTTTTGTATTTTGTTTCAAAAGCAAATAAAAACTTGCCAGTTATTCATTGCTTGCTTAAATTCCCTCTAGAGTCTTCCTGAAGTGAGGTAGCCGCCTGCCTTGTGCCATACCAATAACTTTTATGGAACTGCTACCAGTCACTTCGGTGATATTATGTATTTGAGTGCAAGGCAGATAGCTTTGGAGTGGCAAACAGCCAATGCACTTGTCCTGTGCCACAATGAACTTGTCCTGCAAACATACGCTAAGTACAGAAGACAATGACACTTCTAAAGTACTTCACCTTTGTTTTTATGAAAAGAGAAAAACTGAAGTTTGCTGTCAAAATCCCTCTTACCCTCTTTATACTGATATTTCACGCTGGGGTATTTTGGTTGTAAAAGGGCAGCAAGGAACCGCAAGGAAATCCTCTGGGTCTGCTCACTGTCTTACCCTCAGAGGGTTTCCTGGAGGACAGCTTCTCCATGAGGGAGATCTTTCACAGTTTCCCTCTAGCCCAAAGGCTACATGATGGCCTTTACTTTCAAGGAAAAAGGGTGATACTTCTACAGGCTTTTGCCCATATTTCCACTGTCCTGTGTATTTTCTTATGGCCTCAGCTGGATCAGAAGGCTTCTGCTTGTGAAGGTGATGCTCCTCAGCCCTCAGCAGGCTATGGGGCACTGAGTAACACAGAGGTGTTGCAGGCTGAAGGGCTGATGGAACCTCTGGGCATGAGCAGCTGGCTTTGTGCATGCTCCCCAGCTGCCCGCTCTCTCCATCTGTCATTTTTTTACTGTCTTTGCTTTAGATGATAATTTTCTTAGCTGTGAGCTCAGGTGGGAGAAATTGATGGACTTTGGCTGCTGCCAATGGGTGGTTTACAAAAAGGGAATGGAAATATAAATCGCTTCAGCCCATCAGGATTAGCAGTGGTAGCAAATGTATAGAACAGCAGAGTCAGCTGCGATCTGCCAACAGACAGGCAGCTGAGCCCGCACCCATCATTCCTTTGCTTCTTTCCCACTTTTTTTAACATTTAGGATGGCAATATGTGTGCCAGCAGTGGGCTGGACCAGGCATCAGTTGGATTGACTGGTCATAGTCAGAACAAATTCCCAGGCTGTGTCATATCCAAGAAGTTGGCAGATGCCACAGGGTGGGTTTGTGCTGCTGCAGGAACTGAGCCTGGGGGAGAGTGGTGACTGCACTGCCATCCCCATCAGCAGCGGCGGCCCAGTGGGGCACGTGGGAGCTGCTTGTGCCCAGCTGTCACAGAGCACCTCACAAACTGAGACACTGCAGTAACCACCAGGCCTGAAGTACTGTAGCTTCTCAAACTATAGTTCTGAAGGAAATGCGAAGGAGCCAATGGAAAGATAAAAAAGTCAATAAGCAAAAATGCCCAAGTCTCAAACATGTCTCAGATCCTTCGCCCCTCAAATTGCTGGGTTGTGCCAACACTCTTGTAAAACTACTTTCATAGACATGTGTGCTGATTCCATGTACGTCCCTCTTCTCTGTGATACCTCCTGCATCATCATTCAGAGGATGCTCTTTGGATGGGATTAGCTATCTGGGAAGTAGTCCATATTTTTCTTGGGACTCTGCAAGGAAACTTGTTTTTTAAAAACTTCAAGCAGTGGTGAGCAGTGTTTTTTTGTTATTAAGCAACAGAATCGTGGGGAAGGGACCATGAAATTTGAACAACAAAAGGAGAAAGTGATCACTTCTGCTTAGCAAACACATCTCACTGAACAACAGCTTTAGTCTACACACACCAAGAACTGATGGCATGGCAGAGCGAGACCACTGCCAGGGAAGCAGTGAAGTGTCTCAAGAGACTATTGCTGTTTCAGCTGGTAGAAAGTTTGACTTTAAGCACATCAGTTCTCTTTTCCTAAGCTTTCCCGCAGGTATAATGAAGATAATGATGCTTCTTGTTCTGGAAATTCATTTAAAGGTACTGCTCAAAAACTATTTATAGAAAACAGATGCTACCCTTCCAATAAAGATCTACCACAGGAGTCTACCTCCTGGAAATTCCCCTGAGAAAATTTTTAGTGTTTCTTTCTAAATTTTTTTTTAGTAGAATATTTTCTCTTGCTACACCTCTCTCTCCCCATTTCCCATCTCTCTGTACATTCCCCTCGCTTCCTCTGCTTACACTCTGACCCTCCCCTGAAGGTGCGTTGGTTTCCTAAATTACTGTTTTTCAGGCAATTCACCATGCTGATACACCTACATTTTGCATACATGCAAAATGTAACTGCTGGGGGATTTTAGTGGATATATGACAAAATAAGCAGTTCATTATTTATGTGACTTTGATTTCACCCTGTAAATATTACCTAGTGAGGGGCAAAGCACCCCACAATGTGCTGGCAGAGATAAGGAGCCAGTTCAGGGGAAGACAAAGCAGCAGCCCTGCAGACAAAAGTTGGGCACTTGAGGAATTTAAAGCATAGACCAGGGACTTGAGGGGAGAGATCTGAAATATTTCTGTGAGTTTGGTCTGCTTATTTAGTTTTTTGTCTATTTGATTTTCTCAGTTTCCCTTAGAACCAGAGGAAGCTCAAAGGCCAAGGTACTTCACATCTTCTTGCTCTTACAGTTATTGTGGCCTGCAAGTGCCATAAATGGAATAATAAAGTTTTAAAAAGCATTTAGGAAGTGTGTTCAAGTATGTAGATCATCTCAGTTTCCAAATGCTCATATTAACTCAGCCCACATGTCGAACTTTGCTCCCCATAATGTGCGCTCTGCCCGCCATGCAGCCAAGCAGACAGCATTAGCTGATAGGATTCAGGCAGCTGTGGCCAGTGCACACTCACCGTGGGACACACTTCCAGAGCACTGATAAGGGGCTTTAGCTGCTCAACTGCTGTTAAATTCAGCGGAGGGCTGTGACTAAAGCCCTGTGCTCTGCTGCCTGTCTCAGGCTGCTCACATTACGAGGACAGCCGGCACACATCTTCCAAAAGATGATCTGCACCCTTTATATAAATACTAATAACCCAAAGCTTGGAATACTTTCAGATTGACAAGAATTAAAGAAATCCAGATCTGCCATTGGAACACAGTTCTTTTTTAGTATGTCAAGTAGCGCAGGAAAATATAAATATTGAACAAGAAAAATGTGAGGCTCCATGTGTTTTGCACTGAAGCAGTGGACAGACTCTAGCACGTAAGCTGCTTGCCAGCAGTAAAAAATGCAGTCCACTTGCTGGCACATGGATCATTTTAAAGCAGTCTCAGAAATATGCTTATTTATGCAACTTAAAGTCACAAACTGCAGTCTACTGCTGTTCTGCTGTTCGGTATGATCAAAGCATCAGTGACTATGAGCATTTCTGATCTTTGCTGTGCTGGTTCTCCAACGGCTTAATCTCAGCTAATTGCAGGGGAGAAGATGTCTGAGGATGCCACTTCAACCAGAACAAAATGTCAATTCAAACCAGAACTGGAAAGGACAAATTTAAAAATCGTTTGGAGTGGATTTATGATGTGTGCTATACTCAGATGTGGAAATTACTCCTGAGAGGTTCTAAGATAAAAAGGTGCTGCATTATTAATTATTGGATTAGAAATTTACGCAGATGCCTTGTACTTAAAATCAGTGAAAGCCACTGATTTCAACACTTGCTCCTTATTTTTGTAGTTTCTCTAGGACCAGTTCTGGCTCAAATGGTAGTGAAAAAAGCCGCTCCATATTTGTTATTTAGTTGAAGAGTGAAGAGGAAATGGACGGTGATTAAACAGTATCACACAAGTAAGGCTCTGTCTGAAATTTTGCATGACTGCCTCAGAGGTTCATTTTCTCTTTCCTTGCTTCAGTGGAGGCTGCTCTTGCCTCATGAAGGCAGAAATAAAGCAGTCTATCCTGAATTTTTTCTTCAGTGCTGGACCCTCTATTCATCAGCATGGTTTCTAAAGCTTCCTCAGAGCTCTTTGAAACAAAGGGGTCGAAAGAGAAGAGTTAACATCTGATTGCCTTTGTATGTTGATATTTATTAGAGTTGCACTTTCCCCAAGCAGATGCTGAGTAAATGTAGGGTATTACTATTTCTGGAAGTGTTGAAGTGAGCATCACAGCACACAAAATGCTTTGGATGTCTCCTTTGCTGGGTAGGGTGGCTGGTCAGATAAATCTCTGCTGTGCTGTGCTTTAGTGACCAGCAGAAAGCGAAGCTGAAGTGCAGTGGGGCAGCTTTTGAAAGCAAGAAAGGAGTCTGGATTTAGGAAAAAATAATAACCTGCAAAGCTGAACTGTGGCTTCTGAGGGTAGGATTCATAACACAGAGGGCTAGGTAGGTAAAAGCAGTGGTCTTGTCTGAGCATCTATGGAGCTGGCTCTGCAGGGAGTGCAGGGGTGCATCCTCCTCTCCAGGAGGGAGCACAAGCACCTGGCTTGCACGTGTTAAAAGTACATTGTGATGAAACCCTTAGAGCCGAGACATGACTGTTCCTATAGGCCAGGAAGCTGATTGTATCTGAATGCAGCC